AGCAAATACTTATTTTTCTGTTTCCCAAAGATTTTGTTTAATTTACGTAAATTTGCATAAGATACAATTGCGAGTCCGGGGCCTGCACTCTGCAGTCTCTAAATTTGTGCGACAATTGAGCCAAAGTTCAGCTGTATAGCAAACGAAAAAATAGAAAATAGAAAAATAAAAAAATATAGTCAGAGAGTTTATTGCCTTTGGCCTGGGCTGTTGCCGGGGCTAAATTTGAATTCAGCTCAAATTGAAAGTTAGCAAAGGCAACAACACACAGTCACACACAATACAGCAGCTCTTTAGCCCCCGCCGGGCGTCCCTTCTCCGCTCGACTTCAGTATTTATGCCTTTTCGAATGCAGCTCAGCTTTAATTTAAATGGATTTCTCTGCCGGCTACCATGGCAGACATATGGCAGCATTCGCAATGGCCAATGGCATTGTGACTGGGCAGGCGGAGGAGGGGGCGCTCGAAGAACTCACGACTCCCGACACCCGATTTCCGAATGCCAACTTACGACTGGCGACTGGCGACTGGTGACTGCCTCCTGGCAGCTGCTGAGGATTGATTGTGCTTGTTGATATTTTGTCAAATAACGCAAATAAATACACAATTACACACTCAAGTGAGTCCAGGGGTGGGCCGCAGCGAGTCCAATTTGTGGGGTTCAACTGGGCAGGTCTCTCCTGTATGCACACACACACACACACACACACACACACGCTGCGTGATCCTGTTGCTGTCTGGACGCACCGGCTGGCCGCTTGCTGTTATCCTTGTTCAAAGGATTTTCATTTGTTTAAATGTGCTTTATCGAAAATGGCCAAATGGCCAAACGGCCAAATGGTCGCTGGCCATGGCTGCTGCCGCCACGTAAAATTTATACTAGCTGCACACTGGTACAAAACAAGCCAATTGTGCTGGAAATTCAGTTAATTATGGAAAGAATTAAAGTTGCCTTGAGATAGCTGAACTAATACACGGTATCTCAATTCAAATCAATTTAGACCCAAAAAATTAAAAATTAAATGGAAAATTAAATTTGTTAATGGAAAATGCAATTAATTATAAAAATATTGATTGATAATTAAACATCTAAAATCTTCATATATATTCGTATAATATTTGAAGGCTGACATACATCATATACATATATACATATACATATATGTATACATATATACATACATGTGAATATGCAATTTAAGCTTAAGCAAAATAAAATAATATAGAACACATCTGTTTAGGTAAATGTTATTAATTACAGGACCTTTTATAGGAAACGAAAAACTATCATTAAAAATTTTACAAAAATCATAAAATCAATAAATCAATGGAAAAAATATATATTTTAATGTTTTGTTAGAAAATGAAGCTTTGAAACAAAAAATTGAATTTCTTATTAACTTTTTTGTTAGTTTTTTTTTATTTATGTGTATATAAATACTTCTAAATAATTATACCGTCGATGGCCCTCGTAGCTAGCACGTTTAATAATTTTTAGATTTATATTTTTTATATTATCTAATAAATAAATAATAATAATAATATATTATATAAATACATAGACATTATCTTAATAATAATGTTGGCTTCATTAAGAGGCTTTTTAGCCCTTGCTAATGAGCACCGTTTTTGCAGCCATTATTGCCACTTGCTGCCCACTGTGCAGCGACATTTGACTTTGTCATTGTAGTCGCTGTTGTTGCCGTTGTTGCTGTTGTTGTCGTTTTTTGCCACACGCCCGTAAATTCCAATGTAAAATGTTGCATTTATCTTGTAAAAATAATAAATCCAGCAAAGGGACTTTACTCTCTCACGCTTGGCAGCACAGGGGACGGTGTGCAGGGGCGAGCAAGGCGGCGGTAAGGGCCAGAATTGTTAGCTAATAGCCAATGCCCGATGGATGGAGCTGTGTAGATTTAGCTAATGATATAAACAGTCGAATAGACATTTAACCCTTGACCGGGTGGGGGTTGTGGCTAAGAGGGAGACAGCAACAGAAAAAAAAATCAACAATAAAAAAAAAAAAAAAACAACAACAGCAGCTGCCATTAATTTAATTTATTTATTGGCTGCTGTTTCATTGGCGCAAATCCCGAATACAGTGCGATAAATTTAGTCAAATGTGAAAATTGTGTGTGCAGTGCAGTTTACACACACACACACACATACACACACACACACATGTTTGTCAAGCGAGCATTTGCATTATAAAATATCGCCTGGTATGCGGCTCGAATATGGAAATGCAGTTGAGCCAAACAAACTGGCAAAAGAGTTTGCAATTTATTTCAGAATAAAAGTATCTCTGCTCTGACAAATAGTGTGAGATATGTTTTTGCGCAATGCGGCTAACACAGCCGCCAAATGCCAGAGACTCACACCAGCCCCCCTACTTCACCCGGTCACGCCCACTAGCCCCACCCTGCCGCAACGCCAGCCCACCCATTCAGCTGGAAATGCGACATGTGACGCGGCGTCGCTGATTTATTTGCATACAAAAGCGCAGACGTGCATAAAAAATACACAAATTTAACAAGAATAATAAAAAATATATGTATATAAACAAACAAGCGGCAGCAACAACAACAACAACTGCGTAACGCCCCTTTTTGACGCCAGCGCGGAAACTGGGCTAGTTGACTGCGTTGCCAAATGGCAAATGGCAAATGGCAGAAGGTGGGAGCACAGGATGCGACCTTTGAGAGTTCATAAAAAATGCATTACAAATCAGAAATCAAAATGTATTTGCCTACGACCGCGCATAAAATGAAATATGTTGCGTGAAATGGAATTATATGTATTTGACTAAGTGCAGAAAGCAAAGCTCATTAGCTAAAAGTAAAATATATATAAAATAAAAAATAGGCATATAATAAACTTCTTGACCAGTTGACTAGAATTTATAAATATTTATGTGAAAAATTACTAAAAGAAATTAATTTTACTATTGACTAAATAAGTCGTAAACTTTTCTAAAAATCGCTGATTAAAGAATTAAATTATTAATAAATATATATATCATCTAATAAATATATATAAATACTAAATTGTATTAGATAAAAACTGATTACTCTGTTAAAAATCCTGAGTTCCCATTTAAAATAATTCAGAAATAAATTGGAAGAAGCCGCGGAAAATCAATAAAAAGTTCATAAAAAATTAATAAAAAATATTTTACAAATATTATAAATAAAATAAATAATAAACAATTGAATTAATTAAAAAATCGCTGAACGTAATTTAGAAATCAATAAAAAATATTATACAATTTTTTTTTTTTTTTTCAATAAAAAATATTTTGTACTAATACAATAAATATAAAGAATTTCCATGCTAAAAATAAAACTATTCATAACATACCACTACTTTGCTTCTATTGGCACTTGAGGCTGCCCTGCCGCCCATTGCAAACTTTAGCCAACCCTAAGAAAAATACGCATATTAAGTCTTCAGCTTCTCCATCCCGTCGGCAATTCATCATTTGGCGCCATTTTGTGCGTCAAGTTGCATTTAGTTGTTATTTATGCAAATTTTGCATGTTTCAACTTTTCGCCAAGTGCGTCGAGTCGTTTTCGATTATTTAAAACTTTGCCAGAATTTTAGTAGTCGAAGCGCCCAGGGAAAGGGAGAGGGCGTCCTTTTAATGCGCGCACCTGACGCGCTTCAATGTCTTACTGTCAGCAGCTCCTTGGCACATAACGGCGACTAGCACCTGGATTACCCTCGAGACGGGGCTGGGCGAGATGGCTCTGAGTCTTAGCTGGCTGCGTGCTGTGTGCATAATTTTGTGCGCTGCTGTTAGAACAAATAAATTGTAGACGGCTAAAGTTATTAGATTAGCATTAGGGACGAAGCGCCGTGCGCCTCACCTTGCCTTACCTTTCCTGCGCCTTGCTGCTCGCTAAGCTTAAAATTATGATTTAGCCCAGGTTATTTACATGCATATAGACCAAATATGGAATGCCGCGAGGCTGCCCGAAATTTATGAAATACCTGCCGCGCACTTCTGGCAGTCATGTGCTTTTTATAGTGAGCCACGCCCATCCTTCCGCCCATATTTAGCCGAAAATGTGCGGAAATTAATAGCCAAACAGGTGGAAATATATCAAATTGAGTTTAGCGGTTTGACTGTGGAAAGGCAGCTGAAGGAACATTACTTTTTTTATTTTCTTAAACAATTGTGGAAATTTTCAAAAAAAAAAAAAAAAAAATATATATATATATATATATATATATATATATATATATATTATTTACATGCCTTCAACACATGCATATAAAACCTTCATTCTAACTTATGTGACAAAATGTGAAAAAAAATCATTTTTTTATCAATCACTCATTTATAATTTACTCAAAATTTATTTTTAAATGAATTATGATTTTTTGTTTTTATATCACTCATGATTTAATATTTAGAGAATTAATTCTTAAATGAATTATATGCATTATTATTTTCAGACAATATTTAATATATAATTTCAATTAAAAATTCCATCTCAATTTACTTATTTATTTATTTTTTTTGTTTACTCAAAATTTGTTAATATTATTTTAATGATTTATTATTATTTTCAGACTTCATTTATATTATATATATATATATATATAGGCATATTTTATTTTGCAATTAAATATTTAATGTAAATTTATATTTGTACCTTATACCAACATATTTATTTATTTGGCTATTCATATTTAAATATTTAATACACAATTTATTTTATAAATTTATAATTTTTTACCAATATACCATTTTATTATATTACCACTTAAATATATATACAATTTATTTATTATCATTGCCTTTTCTTAATCTTGCTAATTAGTAAAATGTATTATTTACTGTTAACTAATTTACTAATACTTAATTTTTACCGATTTCTAACAACTATTATTTGCTTTATATTAATTTAAATACTAACACCCAAAGCGAACCGTTAGGCATTTGGCCATATTAAACTCTCCCAACTAACCAAATGATTTTCTATTTCTTTTCAGGTAAGAGATACTCAGAATCTCTTGCGGGCTCTCTTCTACCAGACTGGCTAGGTAAGTGCAATGTTATTTTGATTCATTTCTTTAGCTTATAGTTTACGAATATATTTTGGACCATTTTTGTTTTTTATGTGTTACGAATATATTTTAAATATTTTTCATACATTTTTTTTCCACAAATTTTTTATAAGTTGCAACGCTCAAAAATTTTTTGAATTTTGTTTTGCGAGTGTGTCACCCCCTAAAAAGAATCCCCGATAATCCAATGAAGAAATGAAATGTCGAAATTTTTTAAGCAATTCCCACAAAAATATGAAACAATTGAATACCCTTTCTCCAATCCGTCCAAAATGATCCGAAATACTCTTCTACTGAAGACCCTATCAAACTGCTTCTTCAACATGTTTTTGGTTTTTCATTTCTTGAGTTTTGTTATTGTTCATGTTGTTGTTGTTGTTGCGCATATTGCATCCTCTTCAGTTGGTGTGTCCAGTGTGTCAGTCAAAGGAGGTCCCCAGCAGAGCGAGAGAGGTAAACCCTAAAATATACTCAAAATACCAATAAATCGTAAATGTTGTGTGCATTTGCCAAAATTATCAACAAACACATATATTTCAATATATACTGTATATACTGTATATAAACAATAGCATGTGCATGCCCCAACTAGAGAGAGGGAGAGTGAGAGAGAAAGCAGATTGACTGCATAGGTGTTTTGCGATATGAGCTTAACAATATATAATATGTGAAATTATCAGCTCATAAAACTTGCCAAATAATTGGCAATTATTCAGTTTGTCAACCTGCACAGAGTCACAAACACACACACACACACATCTAGTCACACACACACTGATGCTTGCTCTTTAGTTTTCCTTTGCTGCACAATTAAAGCCGCCCCACAGACTGGGCGCATTTTCTCATTTCTTGATTTGATTTTCCTTTCATTTTTTTCGCTTGTGTGTGAAAAAAAGTATCACTTGGCACGCAAAGAAAAGCGAGTGAGAAAATTGCAGGCATTACACAGAGAGAACGAGTGAGAAAGAGAGAGTGAGAGTGGGAGTGAGAGAGAGAACAATTTACAAAGCGTATCATTTTGTTAGCAATTTTTCAGCATGCTGCACTTTATCGTAAACCGCTTTGAGGCACGCAGCCAGGCTCTGCAACGAGCCACGCAAACGACCCACCAAACTTCTCTCGCATGCACATACACACACACACATACACAGCCGCATATCATTTAAGCCAGCCCGTTGCCAATTAAACACAATTGAGTTAACAACTCTCCACAGAAACGATGCCAATTGTTAATTGTTGTTAATTTTTGTGTGTGTTTTTAGTTGTGTTAACCAGGCCTCAAGTGTTTTTGGCTGTCAGCGACAGAGTCAGGCTGGAATCTGCAACCTTTGCAGTTTTCCGACTGGCCAAATGTTGTTTGTTTATTGACAATTTATACAAACGCATAAATTACCAACACACACTCAAGCACACATACACAAGCAGAGAGAAAAAACATAAACAAACTTTGCTCACTAAATGCCACTTGCCAATCGTAATCAATGCTCATGTGTGTGTGTGTGTGTGGCTGTCTATAAAAAAGGGACCCAAAAGACTGTCGCAGACAAGTCACCAAGTCAGCATCCACATCCGTATCCGCATCCGCATCCGCATTCGCATCTTTAGATGTATCTGCACCCCCTCACAGACGAGTTGCTGCGCATAAATATTTATCAGAATTGTTGAAATCTTCAAATGCAGAAACGTAAAATCCATTAGAAAATTAATAAACGGCCCATAGCAGCATACTTACTGCAATCTATATATATAAATGTATGTATAGATTTATATGTATATAAATGTGGTTTGGCTCACCCCAGACGGCAAAAAACAAGTCGTGGAACCCTAGCTGAGGGTTGAGATGGAGCATAAATTGATTAAAATGATTTCTGTGTCTGGCTAATGTTTCGATTTACCGTTGACTGCTCTAAGAGATATTAAGAAGAAACTCCTGATATTATTATAAAAGTTGTATATATAACACAATCTTTATGCATGCAAATCTCCATTTATATGGGCATAATACATTTGAAATATTTTAATAATATCAAAATAATATATATAAATAATTGTCTTACACACATATTTCAAAATAAGAAGTAGAATATACATATACAGACATAATATATAATAAATGTATATATATTTGATATATCAAAATATCGATATATAATATTCACAATAAAATATTCAAACATATATTTAATATCAATGTAAAATTAATATTAATCAAAATAATATTGATAATATTAATATTAATATAATTTCTAGCAGGAATCAATTATAATACATTTATAACTGTTTGTACTTAGGCCCGATATTATATAAATTATTCGACTGGGTCGCGCTTGTTTACTGTTTACATTGAACATCGAAACGTATAATCAGCTGACCGATCTATTTATAGTGCTCTAGAACCTTATCCAGACTCCACAATATTTGGTATATTATCACGTGCTCGAGCTTGTGGTCTCGTGGCCATATGTCGGCCACTCGCAGCTCGCATTCACAGTTATACAAAAGCAGCTATTTATAGCGGAGCTGGAGGAGCAAATGTCTTCTATCGATGGGTCGACGGCTGCCCGAGGGGCTCCAACTGGCACGCAATTCACAATAGGAGCATAATAATGTGCAATAAACTATCTCAATTTGTTGAATTGTTGATAAACTTTGGCGCCACTTTGCGGAAAAACATGAAACGAAGCAATTGGACTCGTGAACGTCCTCACAGTCCCCCCTTTCGCCCAACCACGCCGCAAGATCCGTCCCGTACCATAGCTTTGAAGTGGGCAAAGAGCTGAGCGTGTGCCAAATATTTCGTTTTCTCTTTTTCTAAGTTTTTTTTTTTTTTTATTGTTATAGGTAATCTTAAGTTTTTATACTCGTTTGTTTAATTGGGAGGGCATATTAGCTTATCATGACATTTCTGATTATGTCATGATTTGAAAGTTGGATATAAGTATTTGTGTTTGATAAATCTTGAGACACGAATTATATAGTTCATGAAATATATTTAATTATTATCGATACTATTAAGGGTAGAGTCTAAACATAAGGTGGCATAGCTTTTCTCCTTTGAGATGACATTTGAGATGTTGTTTCTTTTTTTTTTGAGCTGGAAAATAACATTTTTTTAAACTCATAATTATTTTTATATCCAAAATGAATAAGAAATATTTCTCTTTTAAAGCTAGTATAGTCAAGATTATCATTTGAATAATACTGTATTTCAGTGCAGATATATATGAATAAATTGTAGTCCTTTATTTGGTATATTGGGAGTGAGACAGCATTTATTTTTTTACCTTGAAAGAGTATTAGACAGTCAGTGTAGCCGACTGCAAAGTTTTTTGTATTTCCTTAGTTCGATTCAAAATCCAGGCATTCTAAAGTTCCATTAGAGTGGAGCAAACAATTTCCGGTATATTGTTCAGTTTTATCTGTGAGCTAACTATTAACAAACTTATCAATTCGTCTGACATTTGACATTTTCAGGTAGAGCAGCGACTGGCTGCAGTTCCTAGTTAATTATCTACAATTGTGTAAGTGTGAGGGTGTGTGTGTGTGTATGTGTGTGTAGCTGTATCTCTAACTAACACACATGCGGCTGGCGCCATGGTCCGTGTACATTTAATTGCCCCTCGGAGAAGCTTTTGCAAATTAGTTAATTGGCGGCCAGTTTATGGCGGCTGCAGTAAGTGGAAACTACTTGGCATGGAAGACAATCTAAACGAGTTCACTTGAGCCGTATATATAGTGCACTATATACGTATAATGACTGAGCTGCGTGAGTGTGTGGAATGTGTATGAAATGTGCTGGGATTATCTTAAATATCAATATTAATGGATGAAGGCAAATAATTTTCATTTAAGCTGCAGATAATCGAATGAGAAATAGCTAATTCATATATAAAGAAGACAAATAGTATTTCAATTGCACTAAATAAAGAAAAGTTAAGAAAATTGGCAAAGAATTCTGTATATGAAAGTAGAAATTCTCATACAAAAAAAAAAAATAAATAAATAAATAAATAAATAAATAAAATTTAAAAAAATAAAATAAAAATAATAATAATAATAATAATAAATAAATAAATTAAAGAATACATAAATGAATTAAATAAAAAAAAATAGCAAATTATGTATTTAATATATATTTATATATGTATTTAATTCAAATGTTATATTTAGCACTAATTGAAATTTATACAAAATTTGTGTAGAAGTTCTTTATGCGTTTGCATTTGCATATTTAATTAATGTTTTGCAATCATTTGGAAGACTAATCCTTTGACAAAAATATCTATATTTTATACTTTATACTTGGCATATTTGTTTAATTATAATAAATTAAAAAGCAAAGGTAATAATTATTGATATATATTTATATGTAATATTCTAGATAAGCAAAACAGTTTAGACCAAAAAAAAAAAAAAAAAATACTGCAAATAGTTACAACATATTAAAATTTTGATCTTTTAAGTTAATTGGCTTATAGTATATGAGAAATCCACTGTTAAAAGACTCTCTACTTAATCGTGTGAGACACTAAGCTGTTAAGCTTTGCCTAATCAAAGTCAAGAAAGGAAATCAATACGAACTGCAAATCAAACAAAAATCATTGCTGAAGGTCGAAAATTGTGAACTCATGAAATAATGATGATTTAGCTAATTTTCATTGTGAATTTATTATATGTTTCACGTCACTTTTGGCCAGTTGGCGTCAACTGATTAGCGCATTCGACATTCGCTGCGATAGCAACAATATTTTGCATTTTTAATTCGCCAACGACTTCAACTTGTTATCGAACCTTTTGCAGTTTGACAGACGGCGCAGAGCTTGAATTTCATATGCGAGCGTATAAACAAGTCGCCATTTAGCAATAACAAACGAGATGCCATCAAATTATGCAAGAAATGCCAAAAGAAGAAGCAGCAGCAGCAGCAGCAGCAGCAGATAAATGTTGTCTAATACAAATATAATAATAATGGCAAT